GGCTGCGGCAGCAGCCGCAGCAGCAGCAGCAGCGCGTTCCTTCACCTCAAGGTGGTACAATGTTTGAAAACTTGACCACCGCACAGGAGTTACCTGCCATGGCCTTTCTCGCACTTGTACAGGCACGTGCAGAGTTTGTGAGTGGCCGGCCGCATCGTGCGATTGCGATTCTTCAGAACACGGAGCAGACTCCGTTGGCTGCCACTGCGGTGGGGCATGGATTGCCCTTCCCGATGCCGGCGAATGCGTCGCAGATGCCGGCGGTGGTGCATCAGCTTGTCGTATGGGTCAGAGAGGCTCGGCTTGTGCCGCTTTCGCAACTTGTACGCGATCCTTTTCTTTTGTCGTCTGTCAAGAACGATCGCAGCGGTGTGTGTTGCCTGCAGCTGGCCCGTCTGTGTCACGCTTTGGTGCGCGACATCACGGTACGCCTGCAGAGCGAGGAGTACCGCAAACTTCAGGAAAGTATTGAGGCCTCCCGCCGCATCCGCTTGGAACTGGAGCAGCAGCGGAAGATGTCCGACAAACTCAGTGAGGAGGAGCGTAAGCTGCTGCAGCGGCGTATTTACACACTGGCGGTGGAGACGACACGCGAGGAGGGTGAGTGGCAGCGGGAGGTGGAGATGTACGCCTTATACCGTCGCAGCGCCCTCAACGCCTACGCGCGCTTCCTGGAGCGTAGCGGTCCTGCGGACGCGGATGGTCTGCTTGCCGTCTTTGCCTTTGTCTCGCTGTGGCTGCAGCAGGATGAGCGGCTCGATGAGCAGCGTCAGAAGGAGACGGCCGAGGCAGCTTCCGTCACCGCCGGCATCATTCAGAGGGCAATTAAAAACGTCCCACACCACAAGTTTCTTCCGCTCTTTTCGCAGCTCGCGGCGCAGCTCGGCACCTCGCAGGACGACGCCAACCTGGAGAGCCTGGTGCTGCACATCGCCATGGAATGCCCCCTGCACACCGTGTGGCCGCTGCTCGCTCTCGCCAACGGCGATAACTTCGGCCCTGTCATGACAACCACGGCCCCCGGTGGTGGGCTGCACGTGGTGGATGCAAAGAAGGTGACGCTCGCGCGTCAAATTCTGCACACGCTGAAAGCTTCAAACGGTCACGTTGACGACGGCAAGGAGAAGGGCGCCAACGCGACGCGTTGCTGTTGGAGGCAACAAATTGTGCAGGAGGCGGAGCGGATGTCGCAGGCGTACATTCAGCTGGCGTTCTACCGTGTGCATAACAAATCCCGACCGGTGCACCGGATCCCCGTGAGTTTTATGATTCTGGAACCGGATTTACAGGACCTGCGGATTCCACCGCCCACGTTGACGTTGCAGTTGCCTGCCGTGGTTTCCCCGAGTACGACCTTGGCGCTGCTGCGGTACGTCCCCACCATTGTGCGGTACGGTGCCACCTTCACAACCCCGGGCGGGATCAATCTCCCAAAGGCTCTCTATTGTGTGTTAAGTGATGGTCGCATAATACGTCAGTTGCTGAAATTCGAGGACGACTTGCGGCAAGACAGCCTCATCGAACAAGTGTTTTCTCTCTCAAACCAGCTTCTTGCAACAGATCGCCGAACGTGTGGGTTGCATGTCTTTACCTACAATGTGGTTCCGCTTGCCCCCACAGTGGGCATCATTGAGTGGGTGGATGACACCATTCCGCTTGGTCATTACCTTAACGGTGACCCGAGGGCCAACGAAGCAGCAGCAGCAGCAGCTGGTGGTGGTGCAGAAAATCGGCTACGATTTAACACAGGAGCCCATGAGCGTTACTTTCCCGGTGAACCAACAACGCTGGAGTGCCGTGCGAGGCTGCAGGAGGTCGGCAAAGCACAGAAACATAGTGTTCTGCTTGATCTGTACGCCGAGTTTAGCCCAGCCTTGCATTACTTCTTTCTTGAGCATTTTTTTAATCCGCAGGAATGGCTCGGGCGGCGTGAAGCTTACACGCGTAGTGTTTCAGTCTCCAGCATGATTGGGTACATTGTTGGACTTGGGGATCGTCACGGTAACAACCTCCTCCTGCACACACGGCAGGCGGAGCTTGTGCACATTGATCTCGGTTTTGCCTTCGACCAGGGAAAGCTGTTGCCGGTGCCGGAGCTTGTGCCGTTTCGTCTCACCCGCAACGTGGTGGACGGCTTTGGCGTGCAGGGGACGGAGGGACCGTTCCGTCGTCATTGCGAGGGGACACTACATGTCTTGCGTGGACAGAAGGAGTTGCTGATGACGATTCTCGAAGCCTGCGCTCATGACCCACTTGCGCGCTGGTCAGTGACGGTGGCGCCGCCGCCGCAGAGACAGCACGGCGGGCGCCAAAACCAAAACCCTCACGCAGATAGGATGACTGTGTTGGAGGAGAAGGAGGAGGAGGTGGATGCGGCGCGAAGGGCGACACCGTGGCAGCGGGGCCTGGGCGTAAGCCGTCGAAAGCCGACCTACGCCGACGCGGAGCGAACGCTCTCCCACGTGTCCGAAAAGATTGCGGGGTACGAGTCAGGCGAGCTACTCAGTGTTCCAACGCATGTGCACAAACTGCTGCAGATGGCCCAAAACACGGAGCTACTTGCCCAAATGTTTGTGGGATGGTCGCCGTGGCTATAGCCTCTTCTCCCTTCCTCTCTTCTTCGCTTGCCTCGCGTAACACATTCCCCCCTCCCACCACCACTCGCGTATTTTCTCACGCTTTTCAAACATAAACTCCCCTTCCCCCCTCACATACATGCAGCACCAAAGACTCCACATGAATAACGAAACGATACGCACATCTTGGACTCCAGTGCCCTGGCGACGGTGCCAATGTGGGGGGTTCATTTTATTTTTCACGGCTTCATTCTCGCAGAGTTTTTTCTGGTGTTTTCTTCCCGAAGATCTCCTACGACCCGCATCAGCCCCCTCCTCCTCCTCCTTTTTTTTTTTGCGTGTAGCGGGAACCCAACGTTGCCTCTGCGCGAGTGAGCGGGGACGACGACGTTGGCTGCAGACGCACCTTTTCCTCCTGGACCCTTACTGCTACCTTCCTTTCCTTCTCTTTTTGTTTTGTTTTGTGTGTGTGTGTGTGTGTTTCTTTCTTTCGTACCAGAGCTGCTGCGGTGTGGACTTTGCTTCCACCCCCCCACTAACTGCGGGCGGGAGCGAGACACACGACACCTGCACACACACCTCTCATCCTTCCTGCCGCACGCATCGTGTAGGAAGCGGAGAGCGCGCGGGTGTGGGAGCGTGTGAGTTCTGTGTGAGAGGATTTGTTTTGTCAAGGCGAATCCTGAGGGGGTGACAAAAGGGAATAATAATCACAAACAAGAAAACGAAAGGGGTGGGGACGATTAAAACAACAAACTGACGAGTCGAGAGGGAGAAGGAGGAGGGAGCGACCGCAACAAGGACGGGAGGAACAATTAACTAATAAAAAGCGGAGTTTTACCACGAGGGGCAACGCGGAGACGGCGATGACGTCACCGACTTCGACGAATTACTTCACGCGGGCGATGGAGCTGACGCACATGTACCTCCCGGACGTGACGCAGCAGGCGCGGTTAGAGGCGGAGCAGTACCTCATGGCGCTCCGCGACGCCGCGGACGGACTGAATTTGTCCTTTCACATTATCAGCAACGAGCCGGTGCACGACCTCCGCTGCTTTTGGGCCTTTAACACCATTATGCACCACCTGCCGCGCCTCGCGTGCAGCATCAACGACGCCCAGGCGGAGGAGCTCTACCGCACCCTTTTCTCGTTCATCTACCGCTACTTGTTTTCCTCCTCCACCGTGCAGCGGCAGCCGATGGACTTTCTTACCAACAAGCACGCACAGATGATGGTGGTGGGGCTGCAGGAATTTTTTCCATCGCGCTGGACCTCGTTTTTTGACGACGCCTTTGAGCTTCTTGACCGTCGTGACATTCTGCCGCATGCAAGTGATGCGGCGACGGTGTATGTGCTGCGGCTATTTGAGTACATTGATGAGCGTGTGGTTTCAGTGCGGGCGCAGACGGACCGGTGTCGTGAATTACGGGTGCGGGATATGGAGCTGAAGGATGCGATGCGTGAGCACGTCATGCCACGTGCGGTGGCGACGTGGTACGCCATACTCTGCGATTGTCGTATTCGGGCACCTGAGATTGCCAATATTTGTTTGACGGTTGCGCAGACGTACATTGAGTGGGTTGATTTTTCCCTCTTCCTCACCGCCGAGTGGATTAACTTGCTGTACTTTCTAGTCACAGCTCCTGCCGTGCGGTGTGCCGCGTGCGAGTGCCTCTTTAGTCTTGTGGAGAAGAAACAACTTCCGGTGGTAAAGCTGGACGCGCTGTGCACGCTCAACATTGTTGACGCCCTGTCGCGCATCATTAGCCTGCTGCAGGTGCCCCCAGAGACGGAGGAGGATGTGAACTTTCTCGAGGTTGTGTCACGGCTTACCCGGGCGGTTGCGGAGCAGTTTTTATACCTCTTTGAACACGTCTCCGTCGCCGCCCCCGCTGCTGAGAAGAAGGGTAGTGGCAGCAGTGGCAGTGGCAGTGGCAGTGGCGATGGCGGCGGCCACGTTGACAAGGTGGAAACACCGCCGCAATCTGATGGGGCCCTGTCAGTGGATTGCATTGATAATATACGGGCGGCACTGGACACAATTCTGTCGCAGCTGCTGCGCTTGCTGAGCATTAACCACAGTGATGTGAGCAGCGCCCTCCTGCCGTTTGTGCAGAACTACATCAAATCCCCTGCGCTGCGCGAGACGCAGGCGGCGGAGATCCTGCTCAGGCTGTACAGTCACAGCCTTATTCAAGGGCTGGCGGAGGCGGAGGATCAAATCTGGCTGGATGACGTTATTGATCAACGCAAGCAACTTCACAACCTTATTCGCCTCCTCTTCCGGCGCTACCCAGCCATCGTGCTGCAGCATTTGCGGGTGTGTATTGCGCAGGCGGCCGCCCCCGGTGGTGGAGAACAAGGTTTGAATGGCACAGTGGGCTCCGGTAACGGTGAAGACTACCAGGACAACTCTCAGCGTGGCGAGCACGCTTCTCGTGGAGGTGAGTGTGGGGTAAATAACTCAGGTGCCGAGGGGATTGAGGCGGCACTGCGTTACTTGTATGAACTCGGGGAGTCGGTTCGCATGGAAAAGCTGCAAGATGTTGAAAATGAGTTTTCCCAGATTGTTAGCGTCGTTTTAGCTTCTGAAGGCATTGCCCAGTGCCCGTGCGCCGTGGTTCATCTCAGCTACTTTGAGGTTATGGATCGCTACTACACCTTCTTCATTTACCACAAGGAGTGGATTCCACTGCTTTTACATCGCCTTCTCCTGCTTCCAAACGGTGTCACCAATCGGCATCCCCGTGTCCGCGCGCGGGTCTGCTACCTCTTTGGACACCTTGTGCAGCTGCTCAAAACAAATCTGCCGCCACACAGGAAGGATATTGTCAACGCCATGCAGAATATATTTGCCTCCAGTATGTTGCAGCCGAGCGACCGTCGGGAGTTGTACGAGGCTGTGGGAAACTTGCTGAGTGTTAACTCACCCACATTGACAGGTGCGGTGGATGAGGATGCGATGATTGTGCGTATCATAGAAACGATGCTACAGGGCCTGCGTGGCGTGGCGTCCCCTGCGTCTCCCCATCGTGTAAGTGCCGGGGAAGCCGCATGCTCCGAGGCGGTGGCGGATAACATTTCCTTTTTAACCGCGTTAGCCAAGGGGCTTAGAGCTAGCAGTGGAGGTGGTGGGGATACGACCAGTCAGCACAGTGGTCACAGTGGGACGACTGTGGATACGTTGACGGTAAAGATATTCCATAGCACTACATACGATGTGATGAATGCTGTGAGTATGTGGCACACATCCGCAGCAGTTCGGGACCGGGCGGCGCATTACTTCACTCAAATGATACACATTTTGCCGTTTGAGTTCATAGAGGCCTATTTCACTGCCTATGCTGCGAACTGGCTGACGTGGATGGAGGCCGTGCCAGAGCTGACGAAGCTGCTGCGTTTGCTCTTGCAGTTTGTTCACCGCAGCGGCGGCCAGGCCATGGCTCTGCTGTCCCGCACACTGCCACTTGCGCTTAACAAAGTGGCATCTGTTGGGGAGTTGACGATGTCATCCGAGGAGATGGGAATTGTGTCGGAGAGCACCCGAGAGAAGCGTGGGGCGTACCGCCAACTGTTTGCTCTTCTCCAGGGTGCGGCGCAGGCTGGGTGCGTCTCTCTGATAGTATCGCTCCCTCCTGCTGACCTCATCCCGCTGCTCACACAGTTGTTGGCGGCGGTGCAGCTTTCCGGTGAGACGGAGCTGCCCAAGCTGGCTTTGCAGATCACGACAGCCATCACCTCCGCGGGGTGGGAGGAGGAAGGGGCGGCGCACCACGACACGGGCCATGACGGGGATGAAAGGCTAAATAACAATAATAGCAATCGTAGCACTACTAACCCCGTCCGCAAGGGAGAAACGAATGTGTGCGACGATAGTGGTGAAGCTTGGCTCTCGTTCGTCTTGAACGAGGTTGTACCGGCGATCCTACATCGTTTTCTGCTCCCTGCCTTTGATGTGAGAGACGCGAAGAACTTCCTACTTATTGGTGAAGCCGGGTTGCTGCTGAAGGCGTTGATGAATCGCTTAGGATCAGTCGACTCATCCCTTTGTGTACTTCTTTACAACGTACTGCAGCCGTTGGTGGGGGAGGAGGAGGCCACAGGGCTTGTAACGGCTCTCCAGAAGGAACCACGCTTTTCAACAGAGATGAAAATGCGACTTCGCAACTTGTTACAGACGGTGAAGGAGCGTCAAGCAGCGGGAGGTGTCATGACATAATTTAAGCGGTGATGGAACTGTTTCTTTGCCTTATCGCTCTTTCGAGGACTGCTGTGAGGGCGTGTGTAATTGTGTCACTTCGCACAACCCGTTTGTTTCGCTGTTTTCTTTCCTTTTATGTTTGTGAAAGCAGTTCCGCTTTGGTCGCTGTCGGTGCAGTTTTTTTTTTTCTTTGCGCTTGTCATCTTTTGTTTTTATTTTCGAGAGGCTGTCCTCCTCTACTCCGCCTTCCCTCACTTCGTCTTCTTATTTCTTGCGTGTGTGCGTGAGCAGGGGCGTGCGTGGCCCTTTGCACCCACCCACCCACATATGCGTGGAGGGAGGCACAACGCGGTGATAATTTGTTTGTGTGTTTGTGTGCCCCTCTTTTCCCCCCTTTTTTCCCCCTCCTCCTCCTCCTTCCACGTACCACTACGGCGTCAGCACACTTCTTTTCTTCTGATTTTATTTCACGCCTGATGCACCCTGCAGGAAGGAGTCACATAGCAGGAATACATCCGCGTTTTTTTTTTCTATTTTAGACAAGTAGGCATCGATCTCCGTAACTAATTTCTTTTTTTGCTTCTTGCTTTTGTTTTCTCCCTCCCTCCCTCCCTCCCTTTTTTTTTTTTTGTCTTCTTCTTCCTTCTCGTCTCGTTTTACACCTGTCAGCTTCATACCCACGATAAAAGGAGGAAGAGGGAGGTGTGACGAGGAGAGGAGGAGGCGGTGGGGAAGCAGCAACAACATCAATAAAACAACAACAAAAAAAAACCCAAAACAAAAAAAAAGGAGGAAAACACCCGCCACAGCTTTGCACCGCAGGCGTGGAGAAAAACAGAAACATTGCGTTCAACGTTGGTTGTACAGCGCAGAGGCAAACACAAAAACTAAGAAGAAAAGAAAAAAAGGAAAACGGAGGGAGTGAGAGAAACAGCAACAACAAAAAAAAAGCCTACCATCTCAAGTCTTCGTGGCCGCCTGCACAGTTGCAGGCCGCAGGCCACACACACACACACACACACACACACACACACACACAGCCAGCGGCGCAGCTTCCCCAAGAAGAGGCGGGCGACAAGGCGGGTTGGCAACAACTGCCTTCAAGACCTTTTGGGTGAGGCGCAGAAGTTTGCAGCGAGCGGATAAAACAGCAGCAGCAGCAACCAGAACAATCTGAGGAAAATAC